TGTGAGTCCTGGTCCTAGAACACCTCTGGCTCTGGGCCAGCTACTGGTGTAGTAAGAAGACCCGCCACTGACAACCCAGATCATTGGGAAACTGGTGCTACCAGAGCTTGGGAGATGTGAGACCAAGTCTGTGAGGGTGACAGGGTGGTTGGCAGCTATGAAATCCAGGAAATACTGGCTTCTTTGATTCCCCAGGGACATGTTCTTGCCAGTCTTCAAGTTCCAAAGTTCCCGCATGGATGCCTTGGCCCAAATTAGGGGAGTGGCAGGCAGGAGAAAGTTGGATAGCATACATACTCTGCTATGCTAATAAATTCACAGGCGTCAGCCCATGCCCTCTGGGAGTGAGGCAGCCTGGAGCCCTGACAGACCAGATGAGGTAGGCTCTTGGGGTGATTGTGGGCAGTTTAGTTTTGCTTTGGCAGATGACACTTTTCAGAGCTGGTACCCACAGGGAAGCAAAGCAGAACCTGTCACTTCATACTTCTTTCCCCATTTTGTTCATGCTGCCCAGAGTAAACTTTTAGATCTAGGTCAGTGTAGGAGCCTCCCTCCTTCTTGACCCCTGCTCATGAGTCTCTGACTTTAGAAGTGGCGGTCAGGTGAAAGACAGGCCTTGGGCTGCCTAAGACACCAGATTCTTGATTTTTTTTTTTACTCTATAGCTTTATTACTTTTTTATGTGTATGTGCTTGGATGCATGTACAGTGCAGTGTACATGTGCATACATGCTTAATACCCAGAAAGGCCAGAAGGGGGCATCAGATCCACTAGACTAAAGGTGAGCCACCATGTGGATGGAAGGAATCAAACTCAGGTCCTCTGGAAGAACAGCACGTATGCTCTTCACCACTGAACCATCTCTATCCCCATAGTAGTCTTGTAACCCTGCTTATCTCTGCTGGTTCAAGATGGCAAGGGTTGGGGGAGGCCCCAAATCTGGGCTGCTTGCCTCTATCTCTTCCAGGAACCAGAACATTTTGGTGACATGAAAAATCAGAAGAGGGTCCCAGATCTCAGCTCTTTTTCTGTTCCCTACCTTCAGAGAGCAGGAAAGGCAGCACCAGGAAGGTGACAAGACTGGGGATATCTAGGCTCAGTGTCCTGGGCAAAGCTGCAGAGTAGGAGGAGGCTAGGCTGGCTGTCCAAAGCTCTGTGTCCTTTTCAGTTTTAGAACAGGCACTTTCCCTAGGTGCCATAAAACCTGTCTGTCCTCCCTGTTGAACTCGCCTGTGGCCACAGCTCCACCCCTCCTAACCTGGTTGCTAGGATTGAGTATAGGACACTGTGTTAGTGGCAGGTGGGTACAGTACTAGGAGCCAGACCATAGTGCCAATCCAAGTGTAAATGCAGGTCAGCCTTCATGCAGGGGACTGAGACTAAGTCTGGACACGTCCTCAGCTAGTGCATCCCTACCCCACCCTCCTGTCTTCCTGGTTCAGCCAGCCCAGCCCAGCCCAGCCCTGAAGAGAGTGTTGGCAACTGGAGCTGGGAAAAGAATGGTAGAGCCAAGAACAACAGAGGTTCCGCCTGGGTACTGTACAGATCCTCTTCTGGCCTGTAGTAGCCCCTCCTTCTGCCTCAGCCCTTCCTATTGCTTCTTCTTGGGCTCCTTGCTATCTTCCTTGCCCTGCTTGCCTCCCTTTGCCAGACCCCAGGCTGGCCCTGCAGGTCACTTTATCTTCTGCCTTTGGGTGGAACCTCCGTTTAACCTCAGGGTTCTCTGTCCTTTCCCAGTTCTCAGGGAAATCCCTTCTGCATCCAAATGTTTCTGGGAGGTGTGTGGCTTCCTTCCTAGGTCCCTAACCCTGTCTGTCAGCTTTGGGTCTCTACTGTCCTCCCTCCATTCTGCTACAATGACAAAGGCTGGGTCCCTGAGTCAGGGAGACAGTCAAAGGTACAAGAATCCCTTTTTCATGGAAGTCCCCAGTGAAAGGTAGGATGCTGAATCTAAGCTCTCTGTGCATCAGAGTCCTCTTGGTGCAAGGGCTCAGGAGACACAAATCCAACTCAACACAGCCAGCCTTTCTCTGGCTCAGAACAGCACTGCTACCTTCTATAGAAGCGTCCAGCCCAAAGTAGCTGGCTTTCACTTTGGAAGTGCAGGTCAACAAACACTGACCCAGCAGAGACACTAATACTGCTCTGAGTACCGACCTTGGCAGAGAATCTCCGGTTATGGGTGAGGGTGGGGATTTTGTGACTTTCCTGCTCTCCCTATTCCGAGTCAGCCCTGGCCTCTTCCATGAAGGACTGAGTGGTTCCTTATGTTCCCCAAAACCTCAGGAGAAGAGATGTAGAAGGCAGAAGTGTCTCCTATTCCAAGCTCCATGGTGCAGCCATCTAAGCACACACACTACCCTGCTTACACTTGTTCCTTGCTGCCATCTCAGCCCATCTCTGTTCCTCTGCTCTGAGCCTGAGAGCCACACAATGGAACAAAGCCCCTGAATGTTCCTTCACTCTCTGAGCTGGTGTGTTTCTTCCCCACTCTATCCTCAGCTTCCCTATGTTGCCTACAAACTCCTAATGAGAGAGGGATCCCCAAGAGGGGTATGATCGTGGGAATGGGGTCACTTGGGGCAGATCTGCAGCAGATTTAGTTATAATTGAAAAGCCAGAGGCAACTGGAAATTCCTTTCCTTATTGATCCTAGTGGGAAAAAGCTCCTCCTATGGAACAGCTCTGGGACCCTAGCCCTTGCCTCTTGTTAGATGGATACCCTAGCCTGCCTCCTAGGCCCCTTCATCCCTGAGTGTCTTTTTTTTCCCAGCTGCTCACATAAGTACCCCATGCCTGCTGTTCCCCTGAAATAAAAGAGCTGGTGGAGGTTGAAACCCCCATCCCTAGCCAGTCCTCTCTCCTTTGGCAAAGTTGGGGTGCTTGGAGCTCTGGCCCTGAGCTGCCAAACCACAAACACATCTGGAAAGAATTCCCCGCCCAGTCCCACTTCCCTTTGTCTTCTGTCTCTGGAAATCCTAGCCAGTTGCTAGAGGAGGGAGTGGGTGGGGGTGGGATGAAGGGAAAGGAGAGGGCTGAAGGCTGCTACTCCCACCTGGGCAAACTACCTCCCAGCCCCCAGCCTCTGTGGGCCCCTCCACCTGGCCTGTATTCCTCTGAATTGCCACCCCAGGTCTCTTTCCTAGGCTAGGTGCCATCATCCTGGTGACCATCAAAAGGTCCTCAAAGCTGGAAAGAGTGAGGGGCTTTCCCTGCCCTTTTCTCTTGGAGGGAAAATGCTACCCAAGTAGAAGAGTGGGCTCTTCTGCCTATGGGCTCCGGGAGTCTGGAGATATGAAGTTGAACGTAATGACCAGTAGAGGAGGCAGGGACACTGGAGGGGAGGGCAGCAGGCCCCTGTTTTCTGCCTTGTTCTGTCCTCAGGCCACTCCTCATTTCTTGGGCTAGAAGCCAGATTTCACTGTCAGAAACCGAAATCGTCTCATTTTACTACAGGGAAGCTAAACTGGAGCTGGTAGGGCTGCAAGCTGCACTCTGACACTCCAGGATTCCCTTTTCTCCCACCTCTACAGTGGTGAAACTGCTCCACCTGCGTGCTTTCTTCCAGAAGCCTACGCTTCCTACACACACACCCTCACCCCTCAAATGAGAGCTTCCCTTGACCCAGGCCCGTGTGTCCCACTCCCTTCTGGGTGGTGGAGGCAGGCGGGAGGATGTGTGTGTGTGTGTTGGGGGTGGGGGGATTGTATCCAGAAGCCCTCTGAGAGGCAACCTCCCTCCCTTATACTCTCAAGTTTTCCACATCCCATTATTGGGGATGGCCTCTATGCTTGCCTGATTTTCATGACACTGTCTGGCCTTCGGTTGAGGTTAATCCTCCAAGCCCTGTCCACAGCTCAATTCGGCCCTCACCAAAGTCTGCCAGGCCCAGTTCACCGGGTCAGGGCTGCCTGCTCCAACCTTGGCCACGCTGAAAAGGAGGGGCCAGACGGGGACCCTGTTTGAGAGCCTGTAGTTTGAGGGCTACAGGTTGGGGGTGAAAGCAGAAGCAAAGGAAAGCGCTTCCCGCTCCAGCACGGAGCCGCGTTGTTTCTGGCCTGGGATTACCCGCGTGCCTCGGAGGCCCCGCCTGTCCCTTCCGCTCCTGGTGTCTCGTCCTTTATGCTTGGGGTTTGGCCTACTTAAAAACCACCCTCGGGAAGACTCGGCCTGCCGCACTTTCAGCCCGGGATGGAGACATCTCAGACCCAGAACCACCCTCTCCATACAGCCAACCTTCTCCCAACCCCTGTGGCATCGGGGCACGCTGGAGGCTCAGCGTCCGCCCTCCTCCCCTTGTGGCCCAGGGAAGAGGAAGCTGAGCCACCGTTAAAGCCCCTTAATAAAGAGTCATGTCAAGTGATTGGCTGTGACCTCTGTCCCCCTAGCCTCCAGCTTGAGGCTCCTGCTTAACCCTTCGTTGTCCGTTCAGTGTTTGGAGAGAAATGAATGAGTTGCCTTGTGTTCACTTCAGGAGTCTCCAGGCACTACTCGAACCCAGAGCTGAATCAGGGGGTGGAGGACAGAGCCACACCTCCCAGTCATTCAAAGGAAAGCTTGAATTCCGAGCTGTTCCATTGGATACAGTTTAGGCTCTAGTGGGGTCCCAGTTCCTGCTCGAGTGGGGTCTCCAGATGTCTGGCGCCGAGCTGTCCAGAGCACCGAGGACCAGCAGGGACCTGGTAAAACGGGACCTGTGTTCGCCCTGCAGGCCGTGTGAGACCGGAGTATCCCTGATCCAGGCGAGCCGTGCTCTGTTCTTGCCGGAGGCGTTTTCTGACGCTTCCCGTCCGCCTACTGAAGCGGGAGAAGGGTATCTTGGCTCTTAGAGAACCGTGGATCCACCCACAGTTCTAGAAACAGGCGGGATTCCGGAAAAGATGGGGGTGAGATGGTCACAGAGTAGGGACCCCAGGTGGGGTGGAGGGCGGGGCGGGGGCGGGGCCGCCTCGTGCACCGGCTGGGTATAAAAGCCTAGAGCGCTGGCGCCCAGAGGCTTTGCAATTGTCCTCCACGCGGCTCTGTCCCCAGGTGGAAGGATCAGTTCCGCAAAGGGGGCAGCGAGGTATCTTTGGGCTAAAGAACTCAGCGCCCAGTGCTCCCGCTGAAGATCTAAAGAGAAAGCCACTTTGCTGCCACCATGCCTAACTTTTCTGGCAACTGGAAGATCATCCGATCTGAAAACTTTGAGGAATTGCTAAAAGCTCTGGGTAAGGAGGTTTTCGTATCCTGGGGAGGTGGGCGAGAAGGGCGCTGGAGTCCTTGGAGATGAGGACGTGAAGGCCATAAAGAAGGCCGAATCAAGGAATGGGTGCCTGGGAGTCTGCATCCCAGAAAAGGGGCGTGCCGGATACCCTGGGTCCTGGGGCACCCGGCTCAGGACTCTTAAATCCTACTGTCTGAGGCTGGGCTCCCACCAGTGCCAGCTTCAACGGTGACTCAGAGCCTGTGAATCAAGCAGAAACCAGAAGCGCGAGGTTAGTCTCAGAGGGGTTAACTACCCTCGGTGCTTGGCTCCGAGCTTTGAGAATCCAGGATCCAGGCAGGGAGCCCTAGAACACATTACAAGCCCTTTCCACGTACCCTAACAGTAACCCAGTCCCGAGGACAGGTCTATTGCCCTCAACACTTGGCTCCTCCCACCAGGTGGTCCACCATTCTAGGTCCCTTGCACTTTCCGCTCTGTTCTCCCCACCCCACCCCCACCTGTGAGACAAATATTTTCCTACAGCAATCGGCTCCAAAGCCCTGTCCAAATCGCTCTGGACAATTACCACTTTCTTGGATTTCAACAAATGTCCTTGTGTGAAACTCCAATCTCCATTTCTAGGATTGCTCCCTCCTAGCCAGGGACCAGCTGCACCCAGTGCAACTGGGCTGTTAGCCAAGGGTGGGAACACAGAATCCACCCAGACTTTCCCTGCCCACCTTCTGCTACCCTCCAGGATGGGGCTGAATTAGAAGGTATAGGGAAGAAGAGATGGAGTTAAGTACCTTAGGGAGTGGGAACTACCCCAGAGCCTAAGGGTCAGCATGCCTTCCATTCCTGGACTGAAGAGGAACCCCAGCTATGGGAAGCAGGGGATGATACCCTTGAAGAGCTGGGAACTATACAAAAGTGAGTCTGGCACGAAAAAGAATGTCGCAAGGGCAGTAGGGCCTCCGTTCTCATCTTTCCTTGCTGTTAGTTCTTTGTGTCAGCTAACCGCAATGATTCTTAGAGTCAAACCCATTTTTCTTTCTCCAGCCTTGCTGAAATTTAAAGACCAAAGGATAGAAATGTTCTTTTCAGAAAATCTATAGCCATTTCCTTCCCCATTTGCTCTGAATTCTGGCTCCTCTCCACAGTGTATGTGGGAGCCTGGCATTCCCCCCCCCCATGCAACCCCCAGGTTCCAGCTGGAGAGAAAGGACCAACCCTATTGTCTGCCTTCAGAATGTTTGTCCTCCCTGCAGGGTCTCTCAGAGCCACGCGACTTGCTAGGAGCAGATTGAAAACAGACTTGTAACACAAACTGCCCTGTGTCAGCCAAGGTCAGCTGAGCCAGGCAGCCAGCTTTGCAGGCACCACAGACTAGGTGGAGAGGGGTCTTCTGAACACAGCCTCAAGGACTCCACAGTCCCTGTTCAAGGGTTCATGTTATGGAGGAGGCTCAGGGCTCACCGTGTTCAAGGCCAACACAGGTTTTTGTTGAGTCAGTTGTTGGGTCAGTCAGCTTTGTTCTCAGGGAACCAGACCTTTGGGATGCATGAGTATTTGTTGGGGGGGGGGGGTTGGGAGGGATGGCAGTTTAAATGTCTTGTCCCCTATTGCACCCTTGAGGGTGTTGGTGCCCCTACCTTCTGGTCATCCCAGCAGCGGAGTGCTCTTCACCACCTACAAGGCCCTCTTCTTAACTGGGGGCAGGGCAGGGAAAGAATATGAGGGTAGGGAGACCCTGAACACACAGAGGCTGAGTGGGAAGGCCCTTGGACATTCTTGGGACTTGGGACATCAGAGTGGGGAAGAAGACACTACCCTTTCTTCTTCCCCTTTCCTCTTTTCAAGACAGCAGAGAATTCCTTTGAGGGACACCTGGAAACATTACAGGAGTAGCAGAGAGCAGTCTAGTACAGAAAACTGTCTAAGCCTAGTTTGGGCTTTCTTTCCCCCTTCCATTTGTATACATTATTACCTGCATATAATAGGTTTTGCTTGTTTTTTTGTTGTTGTTGTTGTTTTGTTTTGTATTTAGAGACAGAGTTTCTCTGTATGACCCTGGTTGTCCTGGAACTCACTCAGACCAGCTGGCCTTGAACTCAGAGATCTGTCTGCCTCTGCCTCCCAAAAAGATGTACACCATTGTGCCCTGCTATGTTTTGGCTTTTTCATTGTACTTACTCTCATCTACAAAAATGTTTGCAGAAAATAGGAAAGTGTACCTGGCCTTATGTACCCTCAGTTTTTAAGCATGCAGCCACAGAACAATTAGAAGCTGCTATTTTCATTTGACAGATGGGTCACCCAGCCTGACTTCTGCAGCGTATTTCCCCAAGCCTCTGGCTTTCCAGGCTGTGGGGCTCTCTGCAGAGAGAAGTGTCTCCCTCTACTGAGATGCTCCTCAGTTCATGGTCTGGAAAAGGGCAAAGATTGTGCAAATAAAGACCTACTCACACCAAACAAAGTAGATAGCTGGGGCCCAGAGGGAAGCAACCTGCATGCCTGGTCTATCCTGCAAGTAGGTACAGGGGACTTAGTAACTGACAAGCCTACCTCAGTGGGTGGGTAAACTGAAGGCTTGCTCAGTAGCCCATGGGGGAAGCCACCCCTAAGGGTGCTAGAAATGGTTTGCTGGAACTTGGTGAGTCCTATGCACCTACTAACTCAACAAGGTGGGGCCATATAGCCCAAGTAGTACTCTATGCTTTGCCTCAATGCCTCTGTCTCTCCTTTCTCAATCTATAGCCTTTCACCATCCCCACCCTTATCATCACCCTCACCCCTACCACCTACCCCCTTCACACACATACCATCAGGGCTCAGATGGACTGCTCCAGCTGTCTTATGGCAGGATGTGACAGGGCCAATCCTCTCCCTGCAGGGGTGAATGTGATGCTGAGGAAGATCGCAGTGGCTGCAGCGTCCAAGCCAGCTGTAGAAATAAAGCAGGAGGGTGACACTTTCTACATCAAAACTTCCACCACTGTGCGAACCACAGAGATTAACTTCAAGATTGGGGAGGAATTTGAGGAGCAGACTGTGGATGGGAGACCCTGTAAGGTGAGAGGGTCCCCTCTCCTCCATGTCACAGCACCTACTTGCCATGCCTCTCAGTGTCCAGCTTCCCTAGACCCTTCACTCTCCTGAAGGAGTCCCTAGGGAGTGTAGGGTGACAGAAGGGGGTCTTGGCTCTTACTGTGAGCTCAGCTCATTTGGCCTTTGGTCTCTTGCAGAGTTTGGTAAAGTGGGAGAGTGAAAACAAAATGGTGTGTGAGCAGAGACTTCTGAAGGGAGAGGGCCCCAAGACCTCCTGGACCAGAGAACTGACCAACGATGGAGAGTTGATCCTGGTGAGCCCTGCCCTATCCTTTCCCCTAGAGAACCGCTGCTGCCTTCAGCCTTCTCTGCCAGGCTCTAGGCTGCAGCAGATTCAAAAGCAGCCAGCTATGGTAGCCCTCTTCAACCTCCTGATGGGGCTGTTTGGAAATGCTAGCCCTTTTGTGTGCAACAAAGATGTGCCCGGAGGAGCCCATTGTTTCCCAGCAGGCTATCTCTCTGACTGCCTCTGGACTCCAGGAGGAAGTGGGTTTCTTGATCCCCAGCAATGATGCCAGGCATTCTTGCATCTCTCTTGCCTGTTTGGGCTTGGAAGTAAAAGCACTGTAGCTTTCAGCCCTCTCCTTCCTTTAAAACCAAGATGCCTGAGTGTCTTACCAGCTAACTACCTCTATTCTTCCAGACCATGACAGCAGACGACATTGTGTGCACCAGAGTCTATGTTCGAGAGTGAGTGCCCATTGAGTTCAAGAGCTTCCAGAGATGCCAGAGACTTCTTCCCCTTCCACTAAAGGCCACTAACTTCCATCCTGCATCCATCTTACAAGCTAGCTCTTCCCCTTACTCCCAAAGGTCACTACTTCCACCAGGGCCTTTTGTTCCTTGACCCCTCGGTTCCAGAGATGGGCAGATTACAAAAGCCCAGAATCCCTTCCACCATCATTTGCCCTCCCCAGGTCAAAAGTGCCAGCTCCATACCAGGGTCTCCCTGCCTGGAGGAGACGGTCTCTCTGGCCTCTACTCTTTTATCCTTGTAGTCTGTGTGATTTAGAATATTTATTCGTTAATTTTATTAAAATGTTTTAAAAAGTAAAATCCTTCTGTGACTCCCTGGACAATGGCCAAGTGGCCCTGTTTAGCCTTGTCTGCAGTGCAAAGTACTGTCCCAGCAGGTCAACCATATGCATTATGCCTCACTTACCTGACATGAGTATCTCCTCTATTCTCTTCCCCAGCCCTGGTTCCCTAATCAGAGTGTTGGGTGCTAGGGAGCTGACTCCTATTCTCTCCACCTGTTTCCCACAGTGGTGACATGCCTCAGCTTCCCACATGGCTCCAAATGGATTCATTAACACCCACAGGCTGACCTTGCTGATCAACTAAGAGTCAGAGAGATTGAACTTTTGAAGGAAGATAAGTTTAATGTGACAGGTGGAGGGAAATGAGGTCTAGGTCTCTCAGGGAAAGACCAGTCAGGACCCTGTATCTGCCACTGTCTTTCTCCCATGTATCTTTTCTGCTCCTGGTTTCCCATTTCTTAAGCTCTGTAAGTGCTCCTCCTGAGGCTGCAGAACACATACTCAAAAGTTCCAGGGTGTGACCTCAGTCAAGTTACTCAAGCATTTTTGTGCCCTTGTTGTTGTTTTTAAAACACAGAACTGTTTTCCGTTTTTTTAAATGTATTTTATTATTTTCCATGTATGAGGGTTTTGCCTGCATGTATGTCTGTGTACCACATGCATGCCTGGTGCCTGAGGAGGTGGACAGCCTCCATGTGGTAGGAAAACCTAGGCCCTTTGCAAGAGCAACAAATATTTTTTAATCGCTGAGCCAACTCTCCAGCCTCTATCACCTTTTTTTAGTTTTGTTTGTTTTGTTTTGGGTTTTTTGTTTGTTTTTTTAGACAGGGTTTTTCTGTGTAGTCCTGGCTGTCCTAGAACTCTCTCTGTAGACCAGGCTGGCCTCAAACTCAGAGATCTGCTTTCCTCTGCCTCCCAAAATCTGGGACTAATGGCATACACAACCACTGCCACAAAACTGTTTCAAAACTGGTGGCTTATTCCTTTAATCCCAACACTTGGGAAGTTGAAGCAGTAAGCGAGTTCAAAGCCAGCCTAGATACAGTGTGACTGAAAAAAGAAATAAACAAAAGAGTAACAGGTCTGGGGAGATGGGTCAGTGGGTAGGCACTTGCTCTGCCAGCATGAGTACCCAAGTCTGGATCCTTAGAACTCACATGGGATGGCTTGATGCAGTAGCATTCTTCCAGGGAGGCAGGAGGCAGAGGGAAAAGAATCCTTGGAGGCTGTGGGTTAGTCTGGTGTATAGAACAAGAGAACCTATTTCAAACAAAATGGAAGGCAAGAATTGACTCCTGAGGTGGTTCTCTGACTTCCACTTGTGTCATGGTACGTGTCTCTGTACACACACACACACACACACACACACACACACACACACACACACATGTTCTACCATCACCAACAACATAAAGACAAAAACAAATAGAATGCTTGCCTAGTTTGTACAAGGCTCTGGATTCAATCCCCAGTTCTGGGGGAAAGTCACACACTTGGGTCTGGGGCTGTAGTTTAGTGGTAGAATATTTGCCTAGCAATGTGCCAGGCCCCAAATTCTATTTCCCCCACCACAAAAACCAAACTGAACTCCACAAACTCACCCAATGTTTGGCTTATGTACCAGTAAATTCAACCTGGGTCTAGCTTCAGGTATAGCTGGATCCAAAGCCTCAAAGACGTCATTGTCTCTCCTTGCTCCTCTGTCTTGCTCATCTCTGAGTTTTATTCACTAGTCACATGCAACTGCCACAAATCACTTTTCTCCAGTCAAAATGGCTTCACGTGAAACCAAGCTTACAAAGTTACAGCCTGAGACACACTGACAAGGGTCCATCTTTTCATATCCCAAGCTTAGAGTGCAGGACTATCCCTGGACTAGCTTCTATCGACAGGGCACAGGGTCCAGGGATGTGGTCAAGGCTGGGCCTTGAGTCACACAGGCTCAAGGAAAAGGTGGGACACTGATCATTCCTCAGAAACCCAAGAGGGAGGGAGGAATTTTTTTTCAACAAACTATGACTTGTAATGTACAAAGCAGTGTTTATGAACACCTTCCAAGGTGCTGGCAGAGTTAAAAAAAATCTCCTTAAGCACATAGTGCTTAGCAATGGGAAACTTAAAAAAAACAAAAACAAAAAACAAACAAATAAACAAAAAAACGAAAGATGGTTTAGAGCTGGACCTGGCAGTGCTGGAGGTAAAGGCAGGAAGATCAGGAGTTTAAAGCCATTCTAGGCTACATGAGACAGAACCAAACCAGAAATGATGGGTTCAACTAAGCTTAATGATGCTCACCTGCATTGCCAGCAAATGAGAAGCTAAGACAGAAGGGATCACTGCAAGTCTGAAGCCATCGTGGTCTACATGGGGACACATTGGCTCAAAAACACCAAAAAAAGAGCCAGGCAAGTTGGTGCACACCTTTAATGCCAATGCTCTGGAGACAGCTGACCCCTGTGAGCGCAAGGGCAGCCTGGTCTACATAGGGAGTTTTAGGACAGCTAGGGCTACATAGAGAGACCCTGTCTCAAAACAACAGCAAAGCTGGGTGGTGGTGGTGCAAGCCTTTGATCCCGGTACTCAGGAGACAGAGGCAGGCAGATCTCTTGAGTTCAAGGCCAGCCTGGTCTAAAAGTGAGTTTCAGGATTACACAGAGAAATCCTGTCTCAAAACAAAACAAAACAAACAAACAACAACCAAACCACAGCAATAACAAAATTTCCAAAATAAAAAAGGGGCTAATGAGATAGCTCAATGGGTAAAAACAATTGTGAAAACTTAACAACCTGAATTTGATCCCTGGAACCAACGGTGGAAGAAGATCCAACTGAAAATTGTCCTCTGATTTTCATGCCGTGGCATATATAAAGCCTCACTCACACATCATATGCCATAATAATAAAATAAAATAAAAACAATCCTCACTAAAACTGTAAAGAAGCATGTCATAGTTTTCAGAATACCAAGAGTGTATATTGAGGGGGTTCTGCTTCTCTAGTTCACTCTGCACAGTTCTAGGGAAATCCTTCAAACCTAACTGCTATCATTTCAGTACTCTGAAAAATTAGCAAGGGTTTGGGTGAATATAGGTCGGTGATAGAGCACATGTTTAGCATGTACAAAGCCCAGGTTTCCATCACCAGCACTCCAAAAACAGAAACAAAATCAGATAAAATAACAAACAAAAAATTACCATAACTACTTCTTCAAGTCCAAAATGAAATATAAACTGGGATTAGATGATCTCTTAGTAACTCCTACCCTTTCCTCATTTAGCCCCTTCAGGAAGGCTTGCTATCTCATCTACCTGTAGGCCCTCAGTACATCTCCTTAGCTTGGCTCTGGGTAGTGCAACAGCCTCTCTCTTTTGATGTTGTCATTTGAAGATCTATGGCTTTCTCTCAGGGTGGCTCAGGGCCAGATCACAGGCTTTTAAACGGGCTTGTGGTAGTTTATTTGGCTGCTAGGAAGAACTGGGTTAGAGAAATGGAAGAGCAGTTGAAGAGCAGGCAGGAGGCCAATGTCTGGGCCCAAGGTAGAGAAAAATATGGCAGAGAATGGGGACTTTCTCTACAGATGGGAGAAATTGGTGGGGCTGAGAAAGGCCTTGGGACACCTGGCTCTGGTCTTCTCACAGATGGGAAAAAAGTCTGTTGAGAGCTGGCTGCAAAAACGGTCTTTCTCCTCCTGGTTTCTTGTTGGAGTCCACAACTCAGCTCCAAGCTTTTTTTTTCTTTCTCTCTACTTTGTCCCCAGCCTTCAATATGGCATCTACTCTGCCCTCCCCTGGACCTAGGGTCTGGAGCCCCTGATCTGATTACAGGCTTTTCAGAGTCAAGGACTCCCTGAGAGCTGTGAGCTTTATCCCTCTGGCCCCTTCCCTGGGCTCTGTTCACAGGATGACAGGGGAATTACAGTCCTGGTTAGAGTGATGGGATCAGGGTGTTCTCACCTGACTCAACTGTGAGATAGTTTCCCCAGCTTCCCGCCCTGCCACAGTTGCAACAGCCCAGCAGGGCCTTTCTTCCCACCTTACCTGAGTAAGTCTTTCTTACTCAACAGTGCTGCTGGGAACAAGGGCCTCTTAGTCCCCCACCCACCACATCCTGAGATTCTGCGAGGTCTCTCTGGTAAAGCCTTCTCTCTCTGAAGTTCTTTCTAAGAGCTTAACCACAGGAAAGCTGACTCCAAGACAGCAGAAGTGCCTCAAACAAAATGGCATCTAGGAAGCCAGAGAGAGAGAAAGAGCAGAGACAAGGGACCTGTATGAAGAGATGGCTGGGATACTGCCAGACACTGGCAGAACCTTTATCAGTACCTTAGGGGAGAAGTGGATACACCTCTTCTTATTCCTGCCCTCCAAGAAACAGGAGCTTGGAGTTAAGGGAAAGGCCCATTAAGGACAAGAAGTTAGAGATCCTGGGTACAAGATGAAGAGACCAGAGAAGGTTCAGAACAGTGCTCAGTAGACCTCTGAGGTCCCCAGCACCAGACAGTACCAGACACCAATATCACATGTGGCAAGATGGCCAAGGTAGAGGAGCCCACAGGGTAGGAAAGTAGAACTAGAGTCAGGGAGTCATGAGAAAGAAAAGGTAACAGGGTGGGGAATGTAGTGGGAGAATAGCACACATGAATGCTTGCACAAGTACACAGACACACACACCTAGACACACACACCTAGACACACACACCTGGACACACACACCTAGAAGGAGAGGCAGCGAACGGGAAAGAAAAAGGGAGAAAGAGACAAAGAATAAGAGAGAAGACTGGGCAGGGAGATGGGGCTAGAGAGGGTAAGAGAAAGTAAGAAGATTTGGACCCTGAGGGCTAAGATTCTCCAGAGGGGCAGGGTGAGGGAAGAAAGGGCCAGGTCCTATGACCCCAGGGCCTGACAAAGAGCTTATGGCCCTCTGCAGGCCAAGATGGATGGGACTGGATACCAGGGCCTTTGTAGTAGAGAAGAAAAGCTGCTCTAAGAGGTCCTGAAGGGGTGAGGGC